TTAATATTGATAGAAATTTTCTCTGTTGCTTCTTTATGATATTTCAATAACATTTATTTCCGAATTACTAATTTGCAATAGCATTTTATTTATTTGTGATATTATAACAGTATGAATTTAAAATATTTCAAGTATTCATGTCAATTATTTTAGTAAAATTGTGACTAGAATTTTGAAACAGAGTTGGATATTTTTTAAAATTATAAGTAGGTCTTAGCAAAATTTTATTCTCTTGAGAATAAAGTACTGAACAAAAAACTTTATAAAATTTTTTTGGTTATGTTAAAAGCACTTATTTTTTGTTAATGTTTAGATTATTTTAATTTTTTTTTTTTTTACTACAGTAGCAAAATAATTTTGAAGGTGTATAAATAAATACTTTGCTTAATAATTATTATTATTATTTTTTTTTAAAAAAACTAAAACAATATTTTTAATTTTGTAACTGTGAGCTACCCCAAGAACATCTCCAAAAATTAGCCAATTAGAATTGGAGATCAGGTGTAATGTGAAATCAAAACAATCGAATTTAGAGTAATAAAGCCTTAACATTAGTTTAGCATTAGGGTTAAGTTAGAGTAAGGTTATGACAATAGTTTATATTAAAATTTGATAAGAAATTTTTTTTATTAGAATACAAAAGATAGTTTCTTATTCGTCTTTTTGAGAAATAAGCAATTTTTAACAAAACTAATATTTGTTTTGAATTTTTTTGAATGTGTAATATTACATCTAACTCTAATATATGATTAGTTGCATAGAATTTTTGAAGGTGTTCTTGGGATAGTTGCTATACTTGCTGGCAAAACTACTGTGATTTGAAATTTGGATTTGGATTTGAAATGAATTTTATTATATTTGGAATGAGATTTGGGCTTTGGGATTTGGGACAATTTTATTATATAAAAGTGAGTCAATAGAAAAAAGACAAATTTTTTTTAAGTAAAAGTTTTCTTGACTTTAGACTTAAATATCTTGACAATTATTTTATTAAATTTAATAAATTTTTTTTATTTTAATTCCATATAATTTCAAGACTAAAATAAAAAATTTTTTAGCAAATTTAATTAATTAGTTGTTGAGATATTTTAATTTATAAATTAAAAAAATTTCACTAAAAATGATTTGTCCCTTTTCTATTAACTCACCCTCATATTTGGAATTTGGAATTTGGGTGGGATTTTGAAATTTTAGTTTTGCTAACATATATAGTAGTTGTGGCTGCACTAAGTGGCATAATCTAGTTTACCCAATTGAAGACAGTATTTCATACATCCTATCACAACTGGTAGGGGAAATTAGGACTCCCAAATTTTTGCAGATCCCTGCCAGGGCTGATGGTTTTCTGTAGTGATAATTGGTTAATTCCATCTGTGCTAAAATATGGATTCTGCGAATAAAATTGACAAATTCTGCACAGTTTCTGTAGTAATTATAAAGATTCTGCATAGTTTCTGCAATATTTTTTTTATTTAAAATTTATTTTAAAAAAGTAAAAAAAGAAAATTTTAAATGTATATTTATTTAAATCATTAAAATTTAAGTACTATGTATTCTATTTAAATTGTCATTTCACTATTTAAATTGGTATTAAAATATAATATATTTAAACTTTGTAAAGTTTCTTTACTTAAACTTTGTCGATTAGTATCTAAAATCGTATTATATTTTGAAAAACTTATTTCCACTGCACAAGAAGAAACTGGTAACCAAATATAATTGAATACAATTTTAGATAAAATAGACAATGAATCGGCTATATTTAACCAAAATTCATTCAATATAATTTCCTTAAACACTATATCATATTTCAATTCACAATAAATTGCCCACTCATGTAATAATTCATTTGATGGATTAGATAGTTCTGGTATAATAGAGTAAGTGCGAATATTTTTCTGTTTAATATTGCCAAGATGAAAAAACTTTGGATCAAAAAGTTGGCATGCATAAAACAAAGATCTACCAGGGTGAGAAGGAATATTAGCAGAAAACCTTTGATATGCAATACTAAAAGCACCATAGAAGATAGAATAAAATTTAATTGGCTGAAAAAGTTTTGATAAAATTAATGCATTTAATTCAAGACCAAAATACTCAGCATTTATATTAGTTTCAATATAGGCAGTAAGTTGTTCAAGTTGATTTTTAACTAGGGAAAAACAGGTTTTTCTTGCCAAAAAAAGTTTAATGTTTGTATAAGCTTTTGTAAGAAAATATTAATAAAATTTATATAAATTGTAATAAGTCCAAGATCTTCAGGATTTGATAATAATAATGTAATAACTTCTAATGTATTAGTTTTATCGGTTTTTATATTTATTTTGAAAAAATCTAGGCCAATAGTCAATATAATTTTTTTGCGTATAAGACCATTTCAAACCAAGAATTCTATCTTGTTATAACAGAAAGTGGAATTTTTTTTGGTGAACTAATTTCATAAAACCGTAAATGATCTAAATATCTATGCTGACGTGCAGGACATCGTGAAAATAAATCTTTAATTTTAGCTAATAAAGTATTAACTTGAGAAAAATGACAATAGATATGCCAAGTATCACTATATAAAAGTAAAATATAGTAATTATATATATATAATAGCAAGTTAAAAAATAAATATTATATACCCAATTAAGTTTAAAATATATGCATAGCAGGGTATATAAACCAATTAAGGCATTACTGTAACCAAAACATCATGGTAGCATTTTTTCATATATGTAGCCAAATCTGATAAAAAAATACAAGGAAAAGTAAATGGAATATCATAATTTGTAAGAATTTAAAAAAGAGTTTGTCCTATTGTACAATTATTAACTTGGATAAGAAAATTAATAAAGACTAATTTTGTACTATCTTTGTATACAAATATAGTATTAACTACACTTCATGAGCAACTATCTGTTGTTTTATCTATAATTATTGCTACATGCTTTTGTTTAAAAAATGATTTAAGGCTATTTAAATAATTAGAAAAAACCTGAGGAAGATATAATTGGTGTAATGTAGCTACTTGCAAAATAGCTCTATCTTCTTTACAATATTTTTTTAAAAATAAATGCAATAAATTAAATTTTTTAATTGAAATATTGGCTGCTACAAAAGATTCAATTAAATTATTTAAGAATTTTTTTTTCGATTTAGAAGATGAAAGCAATATAATAATAGTTTGTTGATGTTGCTTATTTTTCTGTGAAGCTTTGTTTGATTTGTGAGTTTTACTATTAATATGATTATCAACTGTCAACTTTTGTGTCCAGTCTATAGAGTAATCACAAAAATTACAAAATAAAACTTCATCATTAACTCTAAATTCACCTAGATTTTCTTCAACTCTAGTATGAACCGTAACTTTTAATATTTTGCTTTTTTTTTTACTTATTATAATAGGTAAAAATATGAGTAACAAACTTTAAGAATTGTGTAACTATAAAGAAGATTTTATTAAGTTACTAATAACTTGAAGACATCTTTTATTAATTAAATTTATACTTTTTTTTTATAATATTCAGAATAATAAAAAATTCATATTATCTTTTTTTGATTACTAATTTTTCTCAATCATGAATTCGAAGCATTCATGTTTTTCAACACAGCCTTCTATACAATTTTACTACTTTTAGTAGTATTATCTTATAAACTCACATAACTATGAATTTTTATTACTTGTCTTTTTAGATTAGTTTCTTCGGTTCTTTGAACAAAAATTATAACAACTAACTTTAATAGTTATAATTAAAAAAAAACCTGTACAAACCAAGTAATATAAACTATTCATTGTTACTTTGATTGGTGATCCACCAGTCAACCAGAGAATAATCATAGTAAAATGTGACTCAAATTACTTATAAAAATTGGGGTCTCCAAATGTGGCATGTGTGCATTTAAACCTTTTTTTTATACTAAGTTAATTACTTTTTTAACTTAAGAGACTTTTGTAGAGCTTGTCAAGATGTATCTAATAGTGGTTAGAGCATCAAAATTGGCTTGGTGAGTGCTAAGATATCTTTAAAGATATCTTGGCACCCACCAAGCTGATTTTGATGCTCTAACCACCATTAGATGCGTCTTGACAAGCTTTACAAAAGTCTCTTAATTTAGAAAAGTAATTAACTTAGTATAAAAAAAAGTTTTAAATGCACGTATGCTACATTTGGAGACCCTAATTTTTATAAGTAATTTAAATCATATTTTACTATGATTATTCTCTGGTTGACTGGTGGATCACCAATTAAGGTAATAACATTATTCCCTTCCGTGACATTAACCACAACTGCCCAACGAAATTAGATCAGCAGATCCTCGAGTTTGACTGGCTAAAGACCAAGGAACTTCAAAATTTTGGCCCACATTACAAAATTGTTTACTAATTTCCAGTCAGAATTAGCTTTTTAATTTTTTCATTACAAAAATAAAAATTCTTAAAAAAATAAGCCCGCATTATGATATAATAAAATTAGTCCAGGAACAATTTTTACTTACAGCTGTTTTCATAAATTCTAGGACACCTAAAAATTTTCCCATTTTCTGAAATCTTTTCTATTTTGTCCAGTAAATTACCTAACTCTTCGGAAACTATATTGCTGTCTCCGGACTGAAAGTTAGAAAATAGCGATGTAGTTTCCAGAGTAGAGTTGCAGGTGAAACAAATCTTCAATAGTGTACCAATTACCACCAATCACCAATCACTAATTAGCATTGTAAAACTGATAAAACTGGTGGTATTGGTGAAACTGGTGGTGTTGGTAAAACTGGTGGTGTTGGTGAAACTGGTGGTGTTGGTGAAACTGGTAGTATTGGTGAAACTGGTGGTATTGGTAAAACTTGTAATTAGTGTTCTGAGGTTCGTGTTCAGGTCAATCCAAGTTTGGAACTTGAACCCAAATTTAAAAGTTGCTATAACTATTAATTCAATTCGGGTTTAGTTCAATGTTTATGAACAAGTTCAGGTTCAGGCTCTATATAATACTTTCTCCCCGATACTTTTCTTTTCTACCATTTTACTCTTCATTAATATTTACTTTCCTGATATTTAATTTTCCCCAACATTTACTATTTTCTGATACTTGCTTTTTCCAAACATTACTTTTTCCTGTCATATACTCTCCCTATCATTTACTTCTTAACATTTTCCATATCATGCCTTTTCTTTTTCTACCACTTCTTTCCTAATATTTTCTTTTCAACATTTCTCTTCTCTAACATCTCCTCCTCCTTGCCATTTTCTTTTCTTGCAATAAATTGCACCAATATATTAATTATTATATATTATTATTATAGACTCTATTCAAACTATTAGTTTATTAATTGTATTATTATTAGAACTAGTTATAGCATGTGTACAAATTTTTAAGAATCATGCAAATGATTTTTGTAGGTATATTTTAATAAGCCATGTACTATACATATAACTAGACAAATCTTTTTTAATTAAAATATTAGATAATTATATCTAATTCTTGTTAAAAAACCTGTTATTATAATAAAGTATAAATTAAATAAAAAAAACTGAGTAAAATTTCTAATTATTATCATTGTCATGGCTTTTAAAATTGTCATATATCTTTATAATAAATTATTGTATTATTGTATATTTTTATCAATTATTTTTTCATGTAAAAAAAATAAGATACAGTTTACATTCTTAATTTATTTTGAATTGCTGATTATTTTAATGTTAAAGATATAAGTTTTATGGCTATGGGAGCAAATCTAAAGTATAATATCCGATACTTGATAGTTAACATTTAGCCAAAAATCAGATTTTTGGCACTAATAGTTAGCAATAGTTAGCTATTGGATATTGTATATTTATAGTTTGGGCCTTTGTATATCAATACAATAATACTCTTATTTTCTACTGCAGGGAAATATATATATAAGAGCTCTTTGGGCCTCATATAACCAGAAATTTACCAACAATTGCAAAAAATAACTATTTTAATTTGGGTTCTTATTTTATTTATTTTAGTTGGTAATAATAAATAGTGGGTGTATTTAAAATAGGCTATTTCTTTATATTTAAACTAGTTGTAAACCCGTGCAATAATGTACAGGAATAAACTTATAAAATTTTTAAATATAATTTTAAAATAAAATAAATATATAGTAAAACTTTTATAATTATTAAGCTATAAACCTGTGCGAAAGAGGTGTGGCGATTTAGTGTAGTTGGTTAGTTGTCACTCTCCCAAGTGGCAAGTCTAGAGTTCGAATCCCATAGATGACGATTTTAAAAAATGGATCTGCTTCAGATTAACAGTTGTCGATTATCGGTTGGATCTTAATCTGTAATCTCAGTCACACCATCTAGTAATGGAAGCTTTGGTGCAATAAATCTGAGGAACTGGAATAACCAAAAACCCATTTGGCAAGTCCCGAGTTAGGATATAGCAATGATTTTTGATGGTACTACAGGAGGGCTGAATTTGAACCGGGGCCTGAGATTGGAGAACCGAGCGACCAGGTCCTATGGCAGAGGACATACTAGCTGAACTGCTAGGTTGTTGCACTAGAGGAAAATGGCATACGCTCCAAAAGTATGGACCAAAGGAAGGGTGTCTTTTAGGCATCTAAAGCCTGGGCAGACCGACCTATCTGAGTTGCTGGCTGGAAATAAGGGAGAGACCGATAAAGAATCTGGGCAAGAAGACGGTTCCAAATGTGGGTACTGGGTTGTTGTGAACCTTACAAGGGCAAGGAGTACATAATGGGCGACTAATTAGGAAGGTTGTGGCTTGAAATACAGATCGGGTTACGGCAGCACCCCAAAGGTTGGCTTGAGATACGAACTTGGTGGCAGTAGCACAACAGGTACTAGTTAGGAAGAAATTACCAAACATGCAGGTAAAAACATGTGTGGGACATGGACTACTCTGTTAGATTTACTTCATGGATAGATTAGCCATATACGGTTAGTTAGTCTTAAGACAAGAGATTGATAAATCCAAAAATGGTTAGTAAGACCTAAAGTAGGGTACAAAATCTATAGGTGTCATAAAAGCTACTATCGAATATATCGAATAGTGAGTTACACCTTGGTTAGGTAGAATGTAGCTAGCGGTTGTAACTAGAGGGTTTAAATGGTACCCCCTAGTTGAGGTGCAGGTACAGCAAATAGTGTAGAACCTTCGGGCAGACTACTTAAATTAGACACTCAAAAGGTATACATGTGGCTATATGTACTTTTGTTGTAACTGTAAATATTATATATCTACCTAATAAAAAGTTCCCAGGCTGTAGAGGTCATTTTTAAAAAAAAAAATAAAAAAATTTAAATCTAAAGCAAATTAATTTAAATAATTTTATCTCTAATATAGTGTTATATTAGTATTATATTAGTATTTTAAATTTTCTATTATTTATTTACGTGTAACTACTAAGTGTAGTACAAATATTATTTAACCAATAGAATCCTTAGTATTAGTTTTATTAGTATAGTTTTTATAGTTTTTTATTTAAACCAATAGTTAACAAGTAATTAGGTCTTGTTGATTAGTCTCTTTGGCTAGTCTCTTTGACTAGTCTTGTTGGTTAGTCTCTTTGGTTAGTTTCTTTAACTAGTATCTTTGACTAGTATCTTTGACAAGTCTCTTTGACAAGTCTCTTTGACAAGTCTCTTTAACAAGTCTCTTTGACTCAATAGTACAATAACATGAACTATAATTAGTAATTATTTAGAATTGTAAAAGATATATAAATTTGGCCTTTTTGTCTAAGGCTTGGGTAGATTTTGTCTTGGACTTGGTCTTATATATTTTTTTCTTTTTATCTAATAAACTAATATTATCTTGGAAATACTCACTTTATACATAATTTATACTCTGTTATTTTCTTTATAGTGGAATTATTGTCTTTTTATTATTCTTTTATTATCCTTTTACTATCTTGTTAGTTTTTTTTAGTGTTCACTTCACGTTATTCATATTTCTTACCCTTTGACACTAAATCAAGTAATATAGTTTACTGCCACCAAAGTCTACTATATTACAGTTTGGCGATAACGACAGAACCTCAAAAATTCTTTGTGTTATATGTGATTTCCAATTTACTTTTCTTTGTTTTATCTTACAAATTATTTTATTTACTAGTTATTTATACTTCTTTCTTACAATATCTTATTGATTTTTGAATTACTCCCACTCTATTTTAAATCTATACTTTGATTACCTTCTATTACTTTTATACTTATTAAGTTTTTATAAACGATATTATTTCTCTTTTATATCTTACTTCTATTTATAACTACAATCAATTGAGTCTTTTGACTTTCAAGTTATTGAGTTATAACTCTTCTATACATGCAAACTTTCTCTCAACAAAACTTTAATTTTGCTTGGAAATATTTTGGATATATTCCTAC